ATGGTCTCGATCTCTTGACCTCGTGATCCACCCGCCTCGGCCTCCCACAGTGCTGGGATTACAGGCTTGAGCCACCGCGCCCGGCCCGCTTGGAGGTTAAAAACAATGACAAGGGCCCGGCGCGGTGGCTCACGCCTGTAATCCCAGCACTTTGGGAGGCCGAGGCGGGTGGATCACAAGGTCAAGAGATCGAGACCATCCTGGTCAACATGGTGAAACCCCGTCTCTACTAAAACCACAAAAAATTAGCTGGGCATGGTGGCACGTGCCTGTAATCCCAGCTACTCGGGAGGCTGAGGCAGGAGAATTGCCTGAACCCAGGAGGCGGAGGTTGCGGTGAGCCGAGATCGCGCCATTGCACTCCAGCCTGGGTAACCAGAGCGAAACTCCGTCTCAAAAAAAAAAAAAAAAAAAAAACAACGACAAGGGCTGGGCAAGGAGGTGGTTCATGCCTGTAATCCCAGCACTTTGGGAGGCCGAGGCGGGCGGATTATGAGGTCAGGAGTTCAAGACCAGCCTGACCAACATGGTGAAACCCCGTCTCTAACAAAAATACAAAAAGAAAATTAGCCAGGTATGGTGGGGCATGCCTGTAATCCCAGCTACCTGGGAGGCTGGGGCAGGAGAATCGCTTGAACCCGGGAGGCAGGGGTTGCAATGAGCCGATATCGAGCCATTGCACTACAGCCTGGGCCACAGAGCGAGACTCTGCCTCAAGAAAAAACAAAACAAAACAAAAAATTATGACAAAAATCTACGCGAGGGTTTGAGTGCTGAACGTCTCAGCCACCCCAATGCTCTTGGGGAAACGGGAGCTGAGCAGTATCCAGAGAAAAAGATCCACGTGCGCCCCTCTTGTTTATCCCTCTGGCCTTGTGCTTTTGGTTCCAGTTATATATACAATGGCTTTGGGGTAGTGATAACGGCCAGCATGTATTGAATGGCTTCTTTTCTCCAGGTACTGACCATGCATGGCAGACATTATTCTTTCCCTCTTAGAGATGCAGACACTGAGGCTCAGAGAATTGTCCCACACTCACTATGAGATGGAGGGGTAGAGGGTAAAAACAGATCAACTGAAGGATACAGCATTTGGAGAAGAAAGAAGAAGCCCAGAATGGAGTAGATCAAAGACTCCCCAGTGACTGAATTTAAAATTAAGGAGAAAGCAGCAGAATTCAACCCTCTCTACACCCATAACCACACAGCTCCTATGAAGGAATCAAGCTTGATGCTCATCCCAACAAAAAGGAATGGTCTGGAGACGGTGGAGTGGGGGGTGGGGGGTGGGCAACGAGAGCCCCCAGACAGCCTCTTCATCTGGCCAAGAGTCCCCTGCTCCCTCCTACAGCCCTCCAGACAGCCCTTCCCATTTGCTGAACCTGCAACTTGAGGTGAGCTTCACTTTCCAAAGCACCTTTGTAAACCAATCAAACCAACCTAGGCGGCCAGCTCCATGCTGGAGGTGTGTGCCAGATGAAAGCCAAGAGGACATTTTTAAGAGCCTTAAGTTTATTCATCGGAACTTTAATAAAACAATATGTCCATGGCCTAGGGCAGGTATAATTTTCATAATTTATGGGTCTGTGAGACAGGAAGAGAGCTTGGAGTTTTATTGTGTTTTGCACGATAAATGGCATTCCAATTGTCTACATGATGTTCTTTAAGGACTCTTGTCTGGCAGGAACACAGGCCTTCTGGAGCCCACCTGGGCCTCGAGGCCTGAGGCAAGGGATAATTATGAATACATCTGTATGTGTTAAGCAGGAGATGATTGAAAAACTCCCTCTGTTCCTTCTGTCATTAGAAGACACTTCCTATGCTGACACCTATATTAACATTTAACTGTTGCAAGGGTTGGAACCCTTCCTGTTCCCTTCCTTTCCCACCTTCTCCCTTGGGCCTGCTCTTTTCTTTCCTGTAACTGAAGAGACTCAGGTAAATTTCTCTTGATTGGTTTCCCTCCCACTGGGCATGGTGGAGGGGGTACTTGGGACTCTGAACCAAAACAAACAAACAAACAAAAAATACCACAATCCACAGACAAGACAGTGGATTTCTAGGTAATGTGGGGTTTGTTTGTTTTTTTGGTTTTGATTTTGAGACAGGATCTCACTCCGTTATCCAGGCTGGACTGCAGTGGCATAATCTTGGCTCACTGCAGCCTCGACCTCCTAGACTTGGGATCCTCTCACCTCAACCTCCTGAGTAGTTGGGACTACAGGCATGTGCCACCACACCCAGCTAAATATTTTTTGTTTTTTTGCAGAGACAGGGATCTCATTACATTGCCCAGGCTGGTCTTGAATTGCTGGTCTCGAACTCCTGACCTCAAGCAGTCCTCCCATCTTGGCCTCCCAGAGTATTAGGATTATAGCTGTGAGACACTGTTCCCCACCTGGGTGATATTCTAATTGGAATCAGCAGTTAGAATACTTGCAGACTGATTGCTTCTATAACATTAAGCCTTCAGGTAACAGTGGCCAAGTGGCCTTATAAAATAATAATTATAGTAATTATCACTTTTGAGCACAAATGCATTATCATGTACAGTTTTTTTTTTTTTTTGAGACGGAGTCTCATTCTGTTGCTCAGGCTGGACTGCAGTGGGTGGCATGATCTCAGCTCACTGCAACCTTTGCCTCCCAGACTCAATTCTTCTGCCTCAGCCTCCTGATTAGCTGGGATTACAGGCATGAGCCGCCACTCTGACCATCGTTTGCAGTCTTGAAAACAGTCAAATTAGGTTGCTATAATCAGCCCCATTGCATAGCAGAGATAAAGTCACTTGCCCAAGGCCACACAGCTGATAAGTGGTTGACCTAGAATTTTAAGCCTTCGGATATGCCTCCAAAGTCAGTGCACTGCATGCTAAGGCCCAGCTCTTTCAGACCAAAGCAATTCGCACCTGCCCTGGGATGCTTTCCTGTGTCCCCAGAAAGAGGCGTCCTTCCCACTTGTGCTTCTGTAGAAGCTGACAGAACATGTAGTTTGTTTCAACAAATGACACATAGGCTGTAATCAAGGTGCGACTTGAACCCGGGAACCACAACCCTGTTCTCAAACTGATCTCAGGAAGGATCCTCTATGACCACACAACATTGCTGTCAATGCTCCTGACACTGCTTTTGGCCAGCTTTCCTGATTTCCTCTACAATGGAAAGAATAATTTGGGCTGTGATGGCCAGAGATTGTTTGGGGAAGGGGCAATAATCTTACAGAGGAGAGAGGGGGCTGTAAATTGCTTCAGATAATTCAAAAAGTCAGGGTCTGGTTGAACGTGATGGCTCACACCTGTAATCTCAGCACTTTGGGAGGCTGAGGTGGGCAGATCACTTGAGGTCAGGAGTTCAAGACCAGCCTGGCCAATATGGTGAAACTCTATCTCCACTAAAAATACAAAAATTAGCTGGGCATGGTGGCAGGTAGAGTCCACTGCTTGGGTCACCACTCTGCCACCTTCACTAGCTGTGATCTTAGGAGAGTGACTGCCCTTCTAGTAATGGT